ACTCTTCCTCCACCAAGCGACAATGTGGCCCTTCCCTCCCAGATAGGAGAGCTGCATCCCTGCTCTCTTATGGGGCTTATGACACGGATGCAGCAATGTGTTTTCAAATTCTGCCCTTTTCTACTAGACTGTGAACTCCCTGAGGGCAGAGATCACATCTTAGCATAGAGCCTGGCATTTGGTAACCACTTGATAAATCTTTTTGAAATGATTAAATGGACTTTAAGCAAAAAGGAGATGGGAACCACACTGATATTATATATTAATAGTATAGGAGACTTTTAGCTTAATGATCCCAACATTGCTGACTCTACTGACAAGTAATCACAAGCACATACAAAGTTACATGAAGACATTTCTCATGCAGCTTTTGTTCTTATTCAGTTAAAAGAGGAGACTAGGTCATTTGAAAGACTTTTGTTTGGGTCTCATCTGTGGATCTGAATACTGAATGAATAATGGAGAGAATTATATTTGGAAAATTGCCATTTCAATAATTTATTTAAAAATCTGATGATTTAATATCAGGATAAACCATGGAGCTATTGAAGGCACAGAGGGGATTATAGCTGGGTATGAGTTCTTGACTAGGTTAGAGCCAAACCCAGCTGTTTCCTTATTCTCCAACATTCAGAGATTTCTGCTTTGATTCTGTTAGAAAAGTGGGTGGTTACGGTTGGAAAAATAACTCAATAATTTAAAATTTACTACTTCAAGGACCCTAGTAAGGAGAGTTCACACCTCTTGCCACTTAGCACAGACATGTTCATTTAAGAGTGTTTAGACAATGTGGGTTTTAATCTAGTGTGCTATTACATTGGAGGAAAAGTACTTTACCTCTACATTTGGGTAGAGAGCTGCTCTGGGAAGTTGGCCATGAGATGCCTAGAAACTTCTTTCATCAACCAACATTTATCAAGATTTGAAAATCACAAGCTCTTACCACCTAAAATTAGTTCTCAAAAGCTGTACCTACAGAGAATCTCTGAGGAGTGCTCATGGTAGTAAAAAAGAAGAGCATGGAATTTAGAGTCAATGTACCTGAATTTAAATGTAGCTTCACGACTTCACACTAATTACTCAAACCTTCTAAGGCTCATTTGACCAACGCTTAAAATGGACACTATTATCCTCACTGGGCTCTTGTGAAGATTGCCTGAAATAATGTACATGGAGCACCTAGCAACTTGTCAGGCACTCAGAAAATATTAGTTTTCTTTCTTCCCTTTTCACTGATAATTTATTTACTGGGAGAGAAACAAAACGTAATACACGGTACTCAAGGAATTTACAGTATAGTTGGTAAGGCAAAAGTTATACCTACAAAAGACTTATGGCTATGCATAATTGGGTAAGATAAATATCTAGCCATTGGTATGATTCATAGTGCTATGAGAGCAGAAAAGAAAATTACTATCACTGGTAGAGGTAGCAACGGAAGGCTTCCTGGAAGAGGCAGAATTTGAGTCAGAGCTTTGAGAATGGGTAGGAATGAGAGAAGAAGAGAGAAGTGGGTAGGGCAGGCCAAGCCAGATAGATATAAAAGAAGTACCTAATGAAAACGTACAGGGCAAATTCTGGTAATATGCACAGACTGATCTTGCTGGAAAAGTTTTTGCATATTGGAATAGCTAAACATAAGGTTTTTGGTAATTGGTAATGGGGCTTAATAAGCTGGGCTAAGAAATTGGTCTTTATCTTGTGGATAATGGAAAGCGGGTGAAGGTTTTTGAGCAGGAAAGAGCATGGCCAAATCATATCATCTAGAAAGCCCGCAAGTATACAACATTCACTCTAGTGTCATGAGCCGTGCTGCTGTGAAAAAAATCCCTTTCATTATACTAATACTTAGTAAATCACTGAAGACCTACTTCAGAACTCCAAGGAAAACATTTTATGAATCAAAAGCTAAGTACAATATGTTAGCAATTAAATGAGATAACATAATAGCCGAGGCAGAACCACAGTTTTCCCCACCACGATTTCAAGCTGCTGCAGAAAGAAATGCTTATATCATCTTCCAAGTTATCAAGTCACTTTGTTTTGATTTTCGGAAGGCAGAGAGAGAGGAAACGAGAAGAGTGTGGGGTGAAGAGGATTCCGAGCTGTCTATTCTTTAATCAGAAGGAATCATTAAGGAGAGTTACAAAAGAGATTGGCGCAAAAGAAAACCAGCCCCCGGATGGGTCTTCCATTACCACAACTCGCTTAGATTCCAGAACAACAAATGAAGGTGTGTAGTTGGGAAAGAAACTCCCACCCTTGCTTTCTCCGCCGAAGTTTCCGGTGCATACCTCCCACTGCTACTTTATTTACTGCAGCTGGCCAAAGTTTTATGGCCTGTTTCATGTATTAAAATTCAAATGTGGAAAACATTACCAGTATCCTCCTTGAATTTTTTTTTGTTGTTGCGGGGGAAGGGGGGGTGGGTTTTTTTTTTGTGTGTGTTCTCCTTCAACTTCCTTTTTATTGTGGAATGTATCAAATGGTCAAAGGCTAACTTCAGACTGACTAAATTCAAAAACTATTTCCTTTGTTCTTATGTTTTTGTTTGAAAATTCATACCAGTTTGCACAAGGAAAAAAAATGACACTCCGATCTCTTTCGCACACTTGAGAGCTTCAGGCTGAGGAGCTCAGATTCTGTGGACTCGCTGAATATTTTCGAGAAGGAAGGAGAAAGACTACATTTGGTTTAAAAGGCAGCAGATTGTGGCCATGCCACATCCCTGGAGTTACTCTATTATCTGGTTGGCTCTGTGGTCATCCTTGATGGAACTCTAAATGTCTTCAGAGGAGTGAACAGGAACTTTTTCTCATCAGCAAAACTAGTAGCTTTATTGCCTCTGCATAGTTTTTTCAAAATCAAGTCAAAGACTCTTCTGTCTAATATTGGCCAATTATTTTTTTTATCGCTCTGTCCCATTCTCTCCCTTTCCCCTCCACCTGGGTCAGTCCAACCTCCCATCTCCAAAGATGATCCCAGTTTCTTCCTCCTATCCCACCTCTGAATCAGATCCAGAAAGGAGGCAATTCAAAGGTCAAATAGTTCCAAAAGGCATCTATGTACAGTTTATTCTTTTAAAGAACCACTTAACCTACATCTGGTATTTTAGAGCAAACTTTACATATTTATGGAAAAAACTGTCTCTGAAGCAATGCCCTGGGTGCATGCTGCATCCGTTTAACATATGCAAAACGAACACAGCTACAGAAATTAAACTATTTTTCTCTTGATTGAGAGCAGATATACAGAAATGGTTATAAGTCACAGATCTGGCTTTTAATAAAGCCAGATTTCTTAATTAAAAGCAGTATTGTTTAAACATTGTCGTTAAAAAAAAGAGCTGTACAAACCAAAATCTCATATTATATGCATCCCAAGTGTATTTAACACATTACCTGAGGCCAAGCTAAATTAAAATCTAGATTTTCCTTTTGTAAACTCTTAGCGACTGTCATGAATAGACAAACAATTTTTATTCAATGATGAATTTTTAGGATAGAGGTCAAGGAAAAGAAAAAAAAAGATTTAGCTTTGGCATTCAGAAATATCTTTCCACATTTTAGAAGTGAGTTCATTGCTTTTATTTATAAACCAGTATTTTTGGTTTCAAATTGGTTGCAGGTTTCAATAATACACCGCTCAGGATGGTACTCTTAACCTTTGTCTTTTATTAAGAGAAACTGAAAGGTGGGCAGAGGAATATTATTGAGCAAGAACTTAGCCTCAGAATAATCTGTACTTATTTTGCATTCTCTTTTTGGAATCTTCTTTAAACAAGAGATGCTATAGTAATAACGAAAAATAGAACTTTTTAAGAGCCTATAAGATACAAAACAAGACACTAATGTGTGTGATGACCAGGCAGGAGTTTGTAAGGAGCAGAATTACAAAGAATCACTGGTAAAGTTAAATTCTCCACCCATTCGGGCACCTCATTAATTGTCATCACTTAATATTTTGTTAGGAAGTTTCTCTGAATCTTCATAATCAGCAAAAAAAGGGATACACTCCCAAATCCTTTCCAAAAGTAATGGGCAAAATTGAAATTCCAATTGTAATATGGAAAAATCTGCTTAAATATTATTCAAATATAGACTTCTTGAAAAATAGGTAGAGGTGAAACTACTATATACATCAAATTACATAGTGCCACCTCTATATTTAGACAAATGCACCACGTATTTCTACCTCCCATACTCAGAATCAAAAGACATCGATTTGGCTTCTTCAATAAAAAAAACATTTTCAACTCATACATATCTGAAACGTCAGCAATGTAACATGAACATAAGTTGGGTCATTTAGCCAAAATCACCACTATGAAGAATTTAGAACACCAGCAATGACCCAGCAATTCACTGCTAGGCATACAGTTAAGCGGAATGGAAACATGTGTCCACACAGAAACTTGTACATGAATGTTCATAGGAGCAGTATTCATAATAGCCAAAGAGTGGAAATAACCCAAATATCCATCACCTGATGAATGGATAAATAAAATGCATATCCGTACAATGGAATATTATTTGGCAATAAAAACAACTAACACTCTGATGTGTGATAAAACATGTATAAACCTTGGAAACATTATGCCAAGTGAAAGAAGTCAATCAGAAAAGACTACCTCAAATTGTATGATTCCATTTATAGGAAATGTCTAAAATAGATAAATGTATAAAGAAAGAAAGTAGATTAGTAGGTGCCAGGGGCTAGGGGGAGGGAAGAATAGAGAGTGACTACTAATGGATATGGGGATTTCTTTTCTTTTTGCAGGGGGCAAAAATGTTCTAAAATTAGACTGTGTCTTGCTTGCACAACTCTATGAATACACTAAAACATACTGAATCACCCACTTTAAGTGGGTGAATTTTATGTTAAGTGAATTATATGTTAATAAAGCTGTTTAAAAAAGAGCAAACAGCAGCAGCAGTATTTATACTTGAAATTCTAATTCTATACGGCTAACTATAGAGTCTACATATTCCATCACTTACCATGAGTGAATGTCTGTTGGCTGAAAGAAGACCAGTTCCATACCCTGAGCCCAGACCACCCATTGCTCCATTATGAGAAGGTCCAATGATTCCATGCATGTCCCCGTGACCACCAGGCATAGCTGTGGATGGGCCCACTGCATGATTCCGGAGAACGTGAATAGCATCATCCAGTCTTTCTAAACGATCTTCAATTCGGCTTTGCTGTTGGTTAATAAATGATGTGAAATTTAATTTAGTTTGAAATGCGTGCATAGGTTACGTAAGTAAAACTTGAGTTGATACAAACCACACTTTGGGTTTCTGAATATATGTTTCCAATAAAGTTTATTTCCTTAAAATGAGAATAAAAATAGTGTCCTTCCTAGAAAACTGAAAAATGTTAATGTTATAATTATAGTGTTATTTTTCATTAACAAAGTAAATTCAGTAATTCTTCCAGGACATTATAGCGCACATATACTATACTATATTCCATTAACTTGAAAGAGAACTCAGATTTACTTTAGAAAAGAGAAACATTTATTGAATTTAAGGAACATTCTGGCAGGCATCAGTTAAAAATTTCAAAAAATTAACAATGGAAAGATGACCAATTTACAGTTTCCCAACTAAATTATCTTCTTGAAGGCATATTTCCTTGGTCTCCTCTGTGGCATATGATATAGTGCTAAGTATCAAATCAGGGACAGGTAAATGCATACAGATTGTAATTTATTGAGAATTATCAATTTTTACCCATATTTCTTGATTTCTATTATCACCAGCTTGTGTGTGTGGGGGGGGGGAGGGCGGCACTCAGGGAGATTCAAAATGGTTACATAAAAAAAAAATTCTGTTAACTAAAGTGGTATGAGATTTCAAGACTGAAGAATCACAAAGATTGGGATCAATGTTCACCAGGGCTTCTAACTGATTTCAAGCCCCTCCCATAGTATAGAATTCACTACCTTATACAATTAAATCATATAATTAAAAACCAACAGACTTTTTTTTCTCCATTTCAGCCATTAGGATCCTAGTTTTCTGCAACTAGATAAGGTCTATAACTTATAGTTTTTGGTTAAGAAAAAGGACATGCAGATGTGTGTTCATTTTTTTCAGTGTGATCAATAATGATATCAAAAAGACATCTGCATACCACTCTCCAGGGTGTACTTTAAAATACACCATCTCATTGGATTCTCATTCTACATGTGTTAAGGCAAGCAGGGAAGACATTATTATCCTTTCCATATACATGTGCAAATGAAGCTCAAAGAAATTAAGTGAATTAATTACTCAGTGTCACACTGCCAGGAAATGGTAAATTAGGGTTAGACTCTAAGTCTTTTGACTTCAAATTTAGTGCCTCTTTGCACCAGATCATGCTACAATCCACTTTGTTTCCAATGGTCTGTGCAAACAGATGTACCAGCTCTACTGCATGAGAAAAACAATTTCTATTATTCAATACTGACAGGAAGAATGTGTATCTAATATAGTTAGTTTACCGTACACGGCATTCTGATTTGGTGGGCTTTGGTGTTAAGGGACCTCCCCTAAACTCCTAGCTCTGCTACTTATATGACCTTGGAAAAGTTACCAAACTCCTTTGGGTCTATGCTTCTTATTTCATAAATTCCCTAATTTATGAAAATGGGAATGATAATACATATTTCCAAGTATAAATGTTAACATGAAAAAAATAATACAAGTGCCTGTCATCCTTTCTGGCTCACAGCCTCCTGGTGGAGAGAGTAGTTTCTACTTGCAAATCCCTCTTGAGAGCTGAGAATTCAAAGAGAATTGAAGCTGTAGTTCATAACCTAGTCTCTACAGATCTATAGCTGGACAAAACCCAGTTTTGATAGATGGGTCCTAGAAAATAACCGATGGAGGTAAACACTTAAAACAACTATCTGTCATTTGGATGCAGGCTGCAGATTAACTGGGTAAGGGAGGTCAAGCATATGCTGTCTCACTCTGTGGTTGCCTTTATTGGCTACACTGCATAGCTGGATGATTCACACACTACAGCAAGGAAGGGCACCACGAAGGGGGAAATCCACTTTCGTGTTTTCATTTTTAGATTTTCCTTAATTGAAATAGTAAGTCAAAGGGAAAGGAAACTCTGAACCGCTGACAAGACAATAAGTTAGATAGACAGATAAACTTATGCCTTCTTCCACATTCCATTTCAAAATATGGAGAAAAAAACGGGAAACTCCACCTTGAAGGACTGAAGAGCTCCTTGCTGCTCCCCCTCCCCATCTGATTCACATCTAGACTAAATAGTGCACAGAGCAGTGTTGTTTCATGCATATTTCCAGCCCCATCCACCACCAGTTGAGAAAGACTAGAGTGCCAGACACTGAATCATCATATGAGCATTTATAATATTAATGACAGCCATGGAGATTTTCAGCTAGTCCTTAACTGAAAGAGGAGGCATTTAACGATATCACTAGATTTCTATGAGAACCAAAGTGAATGAGAAAATAGATAGTAGGCTTTGTATTCAGAGGTCAAGAGGAAAACTCCTACAAACCAGTTACTCTGGAAAGCAAAGCAGAAGTATACAGATTCTTCAAGTGTTCCAGCTATGTAGTTTTGCTGGAATTCCAGAACTCTCCTATCAGGGAAGTTATTTAATCATCGACAGGGATCTTTCCCAAAGACGGGGAGGAGGCCATTATCCTTCTAGGATTTTCAATCTGTCTGGTCCTAGATGTTGAGAGCCCTGGGGCTTACACTGTAGTAGTATCTGGGTGACAATCTACAAACAGGAACCAGTGCAGTCTCATCACTGGCTCTAACCAAACTTCTGTGCTTAACATCAACCTACAGTTCCAATAGTGAAAATAAGAATCTTGGAGAGTGAACTAGATGCAAAAAGAGAGACACAGTCCAAGAATGGCTAGAGGAGAGATTAGCAGATGAGACTTACCAAAGAGTGTAAGGGTCCTTCATAATTAGGAGATGATGAGGCCTGTCCTCCGTTTCTAGACCAAACAGCTGTGCCTGCTGATAGTAAAACGGGAATTACAATGAGATCTATATAATCTTAAAAATAATCTCACCAATATCTTAAACAGTTCTTTTAGAAACAGGAATACTGATTTTCATTTAGAGAATAAGGTAAATGCATGTAAACTTCCCATACAAGAATTTTTGGATGAGGAAAACATTTTAAATGTAAAATATGTAGACTTTACATAGACTCAGAATTCTCTCAGGCTTCCTCCTAAGAGGGAACATTTGATTGATTCCGAATTTTTAGCTAGAGAAGGTTCCTGTTGAAGGAAAACTATCACTACATAGTCAAGGTACTTTTAAGAGCACAAAGTGAGGTTTTTTTTTTTAGATCTTCATGCAAGGCCAGTGTGTTAAACCAAAATTCTCTCACCAATGAAAAACAGCTTTGCTACTTGTTTTTAAAATGATCCTTAAGAAGGGATAAGCCTTCAGAAACTATTTAAGGAAAAAGATTAGTTGGCAGTGATCCACTAAACCAGAAATTCAAAAACTCAATATAACAGCAGTAATAAGTACTTTCTTTTGAAAAAAATTTTTTTATGATCCACTAAACTTGAAGGTAAAGAGAGATTCCTGCTATAATAAATATTACATGTCAACCTACAAAATAAAACCCACTTTTAAATTTAAAATAACACACACTTGGTGTAGAAAACTTAAAAAATAAATAATTCAAGAAAGGAAAAAAAATACATACGATCTCACTGAAATCTTATGCCCTGACACTGTTAGCACTTTTAAAATCCATTCTTCCTATCACTTCTGGGTGTGCCATGTCTGTGTATTTTTATGCTAAATAAAATCAGAATATTTTGTTCAATTACATTTAGTGACAGAATCTGGACAGAGTTATTGGTATGAAAACAGCAATATGTCCCCATATTTACAGCTTCCTAAAGTTCTTTCTTCCTAACACGTGGTCTTCCATGATGCGTTACCAGGACCCCAACAATGGCATGCTCTAGTCTGTTTTCTGTGTCTTTCATCTAGAGCACTGCTATTCAGCTTTAGGGTATTTGTGGCATTTTCCCGAATGACTTGTGCTTCATAACTTTCCCCTCCCATCATTAACCTAGAAGCGGAATGGCAGAATGGTAAGCACCAGATTCTCGTCCAAGCTCTGATATTGCTACTGGTGTAACCTCAGCAAGTCACGCACCCTTTCTGGGCCTTAGCACACTCATCTGTAAAATGAGAGCATCAGCATAAAATAGTGGATCTCAAACTTTATTAGACTATAGAATATTTTTTTCCAAATTATAAAACAGACAAAATTAGAGCTGCTTTGTTTGAAATGGGGAACTTGGAGTTCTCCCTGCTCAGAGTCCCTCAGCACCTGCCTCACCAAGCTAGACGCTGTCTCAATCCTTCTTTGGTTCTGGACATTGATACTTGTGATCATTTTCCAGACCCTAACATATGCTAGTGAACCAGAAGTGTATAACAATTCTGAATCTTACTTTCCATTTCTGTCACGGGGAATGTTTCATTGCTGTTCCATTATCCTCTTAATAGCATCTCTATTTCTTCCCAGTTTCAACTTTGTCTCTATGGACATATGGACTTCAAGGTCCAGCTACCCCTCTCTCTATTCGGTAACCCTCCCAGGTTGATGAAGGTTTGGAAAAGACTGATGTTAAATCCCACCTACGCTATGGCCATCACCTCTGAAAGCTTTGTGGCAGTCGGAAACCTCCTATTCTCTATCAGGGAACTGAGTTTATAATGGGCCATGTGAGTGAGGCATGCAGGGAATAATATAGAGTTCAAGGAGGCAATCTTTAGGCAAGTGACTCCACAATAAATTACAGTAAGGTCAGGTTTCAATCAGGTACAGATGTGATTTAGTTTTTTTTAGAAGCCACCTGTCCTCCTTCCAAAGAGCAGAGACACGCACCAGACAGGACCTTCTGGAAGCACTTACATTGGAAGGGCAATGAGCCTCGTAAATGGACCCCTGAAAAGTGAAATGCTTTACTAACATAATCCAACAACTTATAACTTTCTTATTTGAAGCCACAGGCCATGTTAATTTGTTATATTTTAAAGACAAATGTCCCCTTTCATTCCACACAATTACTTCACAATTTATTTACCAAATTATAGTTTTCCTCAAACATTCCAATGCCGTGGACTGTAAAGAGGGAATTTGGAAAGTCTAAAATTTCTGTAAGAAATGATCCTTTTGAATAGTCTATATTTGATGACTATACAGTCTATATTCATATTCACGACTATATTAAATGAGTTGTCTCATCTGAGATCTTTTATTGGAATATATTATTCTGTTGAGTATCTTCTACAGAGCTAAGAAAAGTTTAAGAAATACATTTTTCATATGGCTGTGTATTCTAAAAACAGCTAATTTTCAAGAAGAGTTTTGGATATAAATGGCTGTACCTTCACATGGCAGTCTGTCTCTCCCACTCCTTTCTATTTGTCTGTTCGGGTATGTTATGTTTTGAGCTTTTGGATGGAGTGAGTTTCCACCTACTAGAGCAGGAATTACAAAGCAGAAAGCAATCTCATAAACTGGTACTATGATGGAACGGGATTTAAAGTACAGTACCTGAGAGAGAAGGAGGAGAGCCAACAGGAGTTGAAGGGTTTGACGAAAAGCTGTTGTTAGTGTGATCTGGAGAATAGATCTTAAAACAGTGGGGAGAAAAAAAAAATCAAACCCTCATTCACTAGGAGTAAATCATCAACAATTTTTTAAACTACAAAGTGTCAATGCAATTTAAAAATGACCAGTTGCAAAATACATTTAACAATCAACAACATAGCACTGATATTCTAAAATGAAAAACTTAAGAATTACTTTAATTTTTCAAAAGAAGAATTACTGAGGTCCTATAAGATAGAGAGAAAAGAACTGGACTGGGGGGTCAGCAGACTTTAGTTCTAGTCCTTTCTCTATCATGGCTGTGTGGCCATGAGCAAGCCACGTGGATACTCTGAACCTCCCTTCCTTCCTCCACAAAAAAGAGGTCAGACAGCAGCATCTCTAATATTTTTGCCCAACTCCTTCTTCACTATGATTAAGGCATTTGATTCCAAGGCATAAGAATGCCCAGATTACATAAAAACTTTTACTTAGGTCACAAAGCTAATATAAAACAAACTTACTTTATGCTCCCAATGGTAAGAAAAAACCAACTGAAGAGATAGAATGGTGGAACAACAAATCTCCACTTACATTTGCAAACGACCGTGTTTAGCTTTTGAAGACAATAAATAAGATGGGTCATGTTGTCACTAGCGAACATGGGAGAAACGTTCAATTCTAGTGTCCTGGCAGTGGGAAGGCAAGGCAGAGACGCTAAGTCTCTGGGTGCCAGTTATGTGACAATGCCTCACGGACCTCAGTTATGGTCATTTTTTTAAAAATGCCTTTTCCAAAGTGTTTTAGAACTGCCCCTTGCAAAGTCAGTCCTAGCTGGCCAATGGGCACCCATATGGTTTTAGGGAAAAAGAAGAAATCAAGATAGAAAATCTCTACACCTAAAGGCGCTGAGAAAATCCACAAATCCACAATGGAGTACTGCTTAGTACCACCATGAGGAGACAAGATGGAAGAGACCAGCCATACACTGGAAGCTTCACAGCGCTCTCCTCAAATTTTCCAATGATCATTATGCAAGAAAGCTGGCCTTTCCAAAAACATCAAAGCTATTTGCCATTCATTTTCTAAAATTCCAAATGTCCACTTCTGATCAAAGTTCACCCTTCTACCATGGTACATATGAAGTCGAAAGTCAATATTTCCTCACCGAAGCAAGTGCTTTCCCCAGAGCATCTCCAGTCTGGGAGCTGCCTGCTGCCCCGCTTCCTCTATTTGCTGCAAACACAAAAGGCAGAATATGAAAAACCAGGCAGTGAGACGTCTAACAATTTTCTATTCCTGGTCCATTTACTCACAATTTAATTGCATTTTTAATGCTAATTACAACACATTAATCTTTAATTAGCATTAATTTGTTTGCTGAGGTAGATGTCAAATATATTCATGTTACATTTTTTACAGATAAAATATAAACCTGACACCTTGGTTTCAAGATAAAGTGTTTTAGTTGCTATTACTTTTCCCCTGTTGCTGATGAGGAGTTAGTGGGGAATGGTAGCAAGTGAGCATGTGAAGTTCATTGCAAGAAGTTTTCAGTACTTTCAGGTCTCTGAATTCCTCAAAGTTTGGGTTTTTTTTATATTTTATACACTAAATTGAATTATCTTCACGAATCACTTCTACCTTCTTTCAAACAAAAAAAAATGGATACATAGCAAAATGAGGTACTCCTCTCAGAGTTCCACAGTAAACAAAATAAAACAAAATGTCTGTAATAGGTTTGGCTTCCTAGGAGAGAAAATACTTTTAATATTTTAAATAGCATACATTCTCCACATATTTAAGTCTGTGATCCCATTTAAAAATTTTGAACTACTATGCTACTAAAGGTCAACATGGTCTCGAAATCCAGAGATAAAGTAAGTCTACATACTCAGGAAGCTACTTCTACCATCTTAAACACTGGTATTTTTACCTACAAAATAGATGAACAAAGAGTACTGTTAATAAAAAGATGTAGGTTCTAGTATATAATTCAATGCCAGCTCTATTTAACAGTATTAATACAATGCCTACAACATTTGATACGTTACATTTATTAAGGCCGCAACATCAGCAAATAGACATAGTATTTAAATAAAACTCATTAAACTCCAGGAGATATAAAATAAAAGGAAATTTTAAATCAGCTGATTAATCCAAGCAGAACTTCACTGTACCCTTATATAATTTTGAAAAATTCCCAGCCCTATCCTTGACCCAAGAGAGCATCCTTGCTGGCAAATGTGTATCATTGTCTGCTTCCAGATCTGTAAAATGGTGTAGTGGGGTCAGACCTCAAGTGGTCAAATTCTCTGCTTCTCTAGGTTATAATTTCATTCTCCTGACCTCTGCTTAGCACAGCTAAATTATGCTTGTTATTTTTGTATATTTACATGTGGGGTATGTCAGTTAGATAATCTTTTGCTATGTGCCTCATTTGGTTAACAAAATCGACGGCCATATTCATTCGTTAATGACTAAAACTGAAAGAAAACTGGTATGTGATTTAAAAAAACACACAATCACCTTCTGACAAAGCAAACCTATTCTTTCTCATATCACAAATTCATACTATTAAAAATATATCAGTTATTAGTACTAAGGATTATATTATAAGCAAATTCTTTGAAATGAGGGTCTGATATCACACAATTGAGCTAGTGGAAGGAATTCACAGATATCAAGAGAATTAAAAATACTTAATAAAAGAGAACTGAAATTATATCTGGTGTGAAAGTGAAAATTTCTGCATTAAGGAGTTCTTTAAAAACTAAAGACAATTCTAAAGAGAAAAAGATTTTGAAAACACAGAGAGCACTTTTTTCAGCATGTATTACCATGGTATTTGGGGGCAATTATATATATATTTTTTTCCTAGAACCAATATTATCATATATACCTAAAAATTAGATTTATCAGTCAAAATAATTTGAGATATCTGCTTGATTAAAAAACAGATCTTCATGAAATGAAAGTTCAGAGCCACATTGGAAAAAACTACATTATCTAACAAAGAACCAAAACCTAAATACGACAAGATACTGTTTCAATTACAGATAAAATTTGCTATAGTAGTAGCTTTCGAAAGATTAATGATTCCTTCAAACAACTTTAAAATGAGGATAAGTGTTTAAAAATATTTTTTCATGTAACCAAACAGAAGGAATTGAAAACAATAAACATATTTTAGGAACATTGAAAAAATAAATTATATATAACATAAAAATCACATTTTAGAAGAGACAAGATATGATCATTATGATTACTTTCATACCACATCTTTCTAATTAAACTTTCTATTAGTGCTTGTTTTAAAGAGGGAGATATTAGGACTCAGGAAGTAGAATAAAAATTAGAATCAACTCCTTACCTCATGTTGTCATGAAAATGTTTCAGAAAACTACAAAGGCTACTCATGGAAGTCACTGATAAGAACAGACTATTTTTTAACATGAAGCCATTCTACCTTGCAGCAGCTGGAGAGCCAAACCCATGGGCTTAAATTTCAAAGAGTTTATTGGGGCCAGTTTGCCCTTTCGCTTGGAATGCCTTTTGTTCTGTTCCAGGAAATGTCGGAGGAGACACGTTTTCAACAGTCCCTGAAACATGTTAAGCTACATGGGTTTTTCTCTTAAAGATTTCTCATTTTATTCGTGTGACTAATGTGTCAAAGGGCATAAATAATCAGAATGTGAATATCTTTTTAATTCTCAAATGGCATGATTTCTTTTATATTGAGTAATGGGTCATGCTTAGCAAAACACACTTCTAATCAAACTTGCGCTCATCAAGTCCACCTTTTCGTCTTTAATGTTACAGGACTTGATTACTATTCTAGACCACAGTTTTTGTCAACTCATAATACTAGAAATTACCAAAATGCCCAAATAGCAGAAATAAAGATAAAAACTAATGCCCCTACTTGGTAAAGACTGGATCAATTTCTTAAGTTATTTTAGCTCTAATCTATTTCTCTTGCTCAAGAGAAAAAATAATCAGTCTCTAAGTAGAGCTGTAACATAAATATGAATGGAAGATGAGCGGTTATGAAGAGGAACTGTAATTTTGTAGGAGGATTTGACACTGCTAGCCACCCAAGCATTGTTCAGATGGCTTGAACACAGGTGCTGTTGCTGGCTAGAAGATGGAGCAGAAGGGAGGGTTTGGTATCTTCGGCTACACGTTGGACCACCCTCGGTCTCAATCTCAGCTTTGGGGAAACGGCAATTCCCATTAGAACACACCCTAATCAAAACACTAGGATGAGCGGTGCCTGGGGATCGACTACTGAAAATCAGAATTTGGAAAATGTGTTACCCCTTTATTGCACACCCATAACCTCAGGCTGGAAACATCATGACAATATAAAAGGAATAAGAAATGCAATTCCTGGTGTATCTGCCTGAAAGAAGATGACTGCTTTAAAATTTTGTTTTTCTGAACTGTGTCCAAGTGACCCTCATGTTTTTAAACTACCAGAAGCAGCAGAACGATGCCATGAGCTTATCTATAAAGATGACAAAAGGAGGAGGATTTCCAGCACTCCCATTACATATAATTTTAGAATAAAAACTCAAATACAGGCTACAATGCACTAATTTTCAGCAGAAGGGACTCCTAGGAATTCAGGGGGGAAGTTGGGCCCCATAACCACGTGCAGGAAATGGACGAGAAGACTTAAATCAAACTAGTTTATTGTTCTCTGTTGGTGGTCTTTGTAACTAAGATGCCATGACACTGCCAGATAAAATTCATCTTACTCTTAAGCTCTGTGCCTGTTCATCACCCAACAGTATTTGAAGGCTCAAGATTCTTATAAAAGACAAAGTGAATATTATGTGACTATTCGAATAATTAAATTACTGTGAAACCAAGTCCTCAAGGGGAAACGGACATTATGTTTCCACTAGAAAAGCCACACACTAAAATGCATCATGTCATACAAACATGTCATTAGAAGTGAAAGCTGTAAGCCAGATTAATTCATGAACCAGATAGATATTCCAGGGTAATCTTTAGCATATGTTGTATTAAATCAATCTTGGTAGTCTGTTCCTTCAACACTGTTTGGTTTGAGGTTTAAAAACATGGGAAATACCATGAATTAGAAAGCAGGCCAGCTAAAGACTAATAAAACAATAATAGTTATTATAACCATTACGCTAGCTGTATCCCCAGTTCCCTCAGAGGGGAAGGGAGGGTGTGTAGCCCCAAACTACAAGGGGTCACACCCTGGGAATGTATACAAATGGTATCTCCCAGTGGGGAACCGGAGCACTGTTGTCTTTTAAGTAGTCTCAGGAGTCTGTGCTGTTATGGTATGGGTTCCTTTCAATTCTTTTGTTCAAAAAGGGCTATTGAATATTGCACGTAGGAAGGACATGTGTAGATAACAAAATGTATATGGCTACTCTCCTCTAGACATTTCTATCCTCTCTAGCTGGTGTCTAATCACTTAACAACACTTCCTCCTCTGTATGCATGCTCACCTGGAGAGGCATTGGACTGTTACTGCTTCTGAGATACACAGTGAAAGAGTTTCAGAATAAAGTTGAAAGGCTCTAATGGTGATAATTTCTGAAGCCCTCGGACTTAGCTTCTCTCCTTAACTGGGTGCTATACAAATTGAACTACTAAGAATTCACGCTGTGTCCTACCCATTATATTCATATAATTCCAGGCTACTTAATAGACCCTTCCAATTCAGAAATGTCTAATGTAATCTCCAGAGTTTGCTGGCAAGGCTTCAGAGAAAATTTGTGAACTATATGCCACAAGTAAAATATTTTACCCCATAATTCTCTCGAAAATCCGTGGGTGAATATGTCATTTAAAAAACATCATTAATATAGTGTGAGTAAGCTTTGTCCGTCCTAAGCATTTCTCAAAAAATGATACTGGGCATTAATGGGCAAAAAAAAACAAAACAAGAAACAACGGTCACTCTTCCAAGTCAAACACAAGCCATCCCAAACCTCAGTGAGCATCTTCCATCTTTGAGATGCCGAGGACAGAACCAGAAACAAGGGAGCATGATTCCAGAGAGGTTACCTTCTGATGGTTCTAGAACTTACATCTCACTCCACATGCATTTTGTTCTTCTATGATCAGTTCAGGACAATCATTGACTGCCAGGAAGACACATTATAACATGAAACTGAGAGGTGGGGCAATGATCTTCTTCTGAACCGAAAAAGCAGCTTCCTAAGACATCATCGCCATTTACGAAAAGATTGCATTGCCTTGCAACTTTTCACCAAGAAAACTTGAAAAATGTGATGTCCATGTGTTAGTGCTTGAACCCCATTCTTACAGCATTAGTATTGCTTACAGTCATGTTTTACAGAATCATGTGTGTAATCTCAAACATGTGTCAGGCTATGTGTTCTCTATTTACCAATTATTTAATTAGCTCTGTTTGTTCTTTGAGATACAGGCAATGTAATATTTCTTTACTTCCTGCATTTCAGAATGAGTGAATATATGCCAAATATTTTCAAAAGTCTACAGATGTATCCTATTAATCCATACTGTTTGTTAGGGAAGCATCATTAACATCAGAAGAGAAATCTTCTCTTTTTGTTACATAGACACGCTGCCATCTCTGACTTTTACCACACTCTAGTAATCAAACCAAAACCTAAGAGAATTAAAGCGTGAAGAAACATGAGCTACTTGGATACCGTGTAATACTAAGGCTTATTATCATACTTAAATTTTCCTCTGTATTTTAACTTAAGGAATTAGAGGACATATTATGTGAAGGGAGAACATTCTAGAATATTCTCCCTTGAAGTAATAACTGTATTTATATGCAAGTTGATAAAGGTCTGTTCCTCCAAAAAGCTGAATTATGTCTACTTATTTCCTGAAAAGATTATAAAGCTTTCTCACATTCTGCTAGCAGATTGTGGCAAGTACACCTATGATTATGGAATAATTTATGTAATAAAGTTGTTCCTAAAAACCTTCTTCTGGTTCCAAAAATCTCATAATTTTCCCTTGTAAAATTATAGCTCCTTAGTATTGTCTAAACCCTCCCTCCACTTAAACAGGGCCCTGTGGTCTATTTAAGTCAAGTCCATCTTTAGTATATAGTTGAGCCCATGAGTATGTAGAAGTCTACTATTGCTCCACTCTGGCCAGACCAAATGAAGAAGGAGAGTAGACATGCCTGTCCATCCACAAGCTAATGATGAGCCAATCAACTTAAATAAAGCAAATCCCATTCCCACTGAGACCCGTGGCTATGCTGACCACAGCTCAAGGAGGATGATTACACCATCTCGTAATATCTCTCTTCCCAAGTCGTAGTGCCTCTCTCCCAGGAAGACTGCTGTGCCGATCAATCAACAAAACTTTTTTTCAAACAGTAACTAGGTCTGTTCTCCTCACCTCAAGCTTTTGCTCCACCTTTATACCTTCCTAAAAAAGAAAATTACTCAAACCACAAAATTACTCAAATTACAAGACAGGAAATCTGTCATGTAAGAGGATGAATGACCGGTCATCCTTCTTTATACTAGACCTCATGACTACAGAAAGGGGCTTTCCATTTGTCAAACCACATTGAAGTGAAATATGCTTTTCTCACTCTTTCAGTTCTGCACTTCTTTCTTTCTTCTTGTTTTTCGAATCTGCCAAAACTGCACTGATAGCTAACAAAACTTCCCCATGTGACCTCTGTTCACAGCTCCCCAAGGTCAAACTGATGCAACACATTTGTAGAAGCTTTGTTATGAAAAGTTACAAAAATGAAACCCTCCTAAATTTGCTTCTTAGTGAGACATGATAGCGAAGGGCTGCTACATGGCTCATCTCAAGTGTGAAATATATTATTGAATAAGCAAGGAGTGTATTATTTAGGCAGAATTATATTTGCAACATTTCAAAACACACCTCTTCTCCTTCATCAAAAACTCTCCCACATAAGTGATTCACACCACTTTCCAAAGTTCTACAGACTCTCTAAAGAAAATGAAAAACACTGCCAAGAGCTAAGGAGATAAACAGCAGGCTTATTCTATCACACATTCTTCCCTCTAAAACATACAGTTAGTGTTCTCATCACTGACCCACTGGAAGTGATCTTAAGGCCAAGCAAGGTGTTGCTCTGAGCTAGAATCAAAGTAGTGGTGACCAGTGAAGTCTGAGGTTTTAATAAGTCCCTGGAGCATCAGGCTGTGCTGCTCATCTGAATGACAAGGTTATCCAAGGTGGATTCACAAGGTGTGGCTTCCTCCTCCCCAACGGGGACTCTTTCCTGCAGGGGCAGCTGGACATCCTGCCTAGCTCTTCCCACAAGGGCAGAGGGCTGGTGGAGGAACCATCTGTCCTGGGGAGAGGACCACAATGGACATGATGAAAAACGAGAGGATGATGGCTCAGTTCATTTAGCAGCAGCATTCTCCTTGGGCCTTAACTCATCAGTAAATCTCCTTGAGAAAAAGCAGTAAATAACTTCTGGCCCACGGATGCCCAGGTGTCTCCTCTCCCATAAGTGAACAAACACTTCTTCCCCTCTGAAGGACTCCACCATGCCACTGTCTCCAGAAAGTGAAGCCATTTAGTTATCAATGATCACCTGTGAATTTCACATGAACTGGTCTGCAGAAGACAGTGGTGTGTACTGGTTAAGAGCTTAGCACAGCGACTGGAATTTGGGAAGTGGTCAATAACTACTACTAAGAGTTAATATGCCCCCTATCTCGCTAGTCTTCAGTGGTTCGTCTTATAAAAGTTCACTTTATTCGCTGTTGAGAGTGTGAGAAGCAAGGTAGTTTTGTTCTATTTAAACCCTTGTTCAATCTAATGACTCACATGGACAAAGCAGACAAATTTCATTTTCTTGTGACAAAAAAAGTGATTATGGGGGCCGGCCCGGTGGCGCAAGCGGTTAAGTGCGCGCGCTCCGCTCCGGCGGCCTGGGGTTCGCTGGTTCGGATCCCGGGCGCGCACCGACGCACTGCTTGGCAAGCTATGCTGTGGCGGCGTCCCATATAAAGTGGAGGAAGATGGGCACAGATGTTAGCCCAGGGCCGTCTTCCTCAGCAAAAAAAAAAGAGGAGGATTGGCGGATGTTAGCACAGGGCTGATCTCCTCACAAAAAAAAAAAAAAAAAAAAAAGTGATTATGGTCAAGCCAACGACCCTTTCTGTTTGGTTCATTTGTTTGTTCATTCAGTTATGTGACAAATATTCATTGCCCAATTGCTGTTCAATTATGAGGGGAAAAAAGAGGTCCCTTATTATTAAACCCTGACATTGACTGTCAGCATCAGAATCCGCATTTCCATGACTCACCCATTATACTGTCTGTCCCGTTGGCAGGAGGCGTACAGGAAGAGGTGCTGTAATGATTTGTACCACTACGGTGGAAAGTGGACATCGGAGGAAGACTGGAATTGATGTCTGCTGAGGAGTGTGATGGATAGCTCTGTAGCAAGAAGCAGAAAAAGGAGGCCATATTCAACCACAAAATATTTAGTGGGTAAGTTTTCTAATACTTCTTTCAGAACTCTCCTTTTTGCAATGGAGACAGCCCTTAGAATTTCAAAATATCCATGAATACACCTTGCTTAGATCTGACAGCTTTCGTTTTTCACATAATAAAATACAAGACACAGATAGTTTGGGTTTGCATCACCTGTAGAGGAATATAAAGGCAATGTAGGACACTGAGAAATGATCACAATGTTTAAATTGAAAAATTACTGCTTAAGAGTGTCCTCGAGAAGTCAGCAACACAAAAGACTATCTCTACTATTATTTTTTGTATGGCCTATCAATCAAGTAAGAGAGATTCCACGATATAACGAATAAAACAACATGATGACCCAGAGGGTTTACATTATACTTCATCCTGAACTTCTGGATACTAAATGGAAAAGAGTAACCAGTCAAATCTTCTTCCTGCCAAGTTGGATCATTTTTCTGAACTCTAGCAAGAACAAAATGGTAAATGAAAAATACAAAAAGCACTAATGATTAAATATCTCTCTAAAGCATCAATATGTAAAGCCTTAAATTAATGACTATATTGAATTAAATTGGAACAAATGAACTGAGAATGACTTACTTGATTTCTTTCCTTATATGACCTCTCCATTAGCAATCCACCATATAGCTAACTATGAAAAAAAAACACCATCTACACAGGAACATTTGGTTTAAGGTTTGGCTTTGAGTTCAATTATTATACTAGTTGCCCAAATCAGCTGCTTTTCTTGGGGCATATCACAGTGCCTGTAAGGTGGCAAATTAGTCGCTACCCATCCATCTGCTTGGGAATGAGCAGATCACCAACAGGGACAGTCATTTGTAAAAACACGTAGAGCTATTTTCCTTTTCAAGATAAAAAGTAGCTTAAAAAGTTATTCTCATAGGCATGTAAAAAACATCTCTTTACATGTTTGTTACAGACATGTAAAGCAAAAATATTTAAGTCAAAATATATTTTGTCTTTATATGTAATATATTAATGGGCTATGGATCTTTATTATATGATTATTGGAGATTCCGTTAAAATTAGAGATTGAATATGATGCTAAAGTCAGGGGTGCTTAAAGTGCAGGCATTTATTCACAAGGAGTGAACCCCACCCCGTCTCGGGATTTCCCTATTTATTTTGTGAGGCTCATCTTCGAGTTCTACCTCTTCCTTGAGGATTCCTTACTACTTCCAACTTTTCCACCATCTATTCTCTCTGAATCCCTATCGCACTTACATTCTGTACCATGCCATTCAACACTTAATTATACGCTGCCTTTCACTGCTTTCTCTTTCAAGTGCATTTCCACTTATAATGTAAACTCTTTAAGGGGAGGAAATAGAGCTCATATCTCTGCATCCCACAACTTGTGGTTGGGTGCTGAACACATAATTATCCCATATACTCAGAGAACAACTGGTTATCAGTTAGGATTTAATAAATAGTGGATAGAAATACTACTTATTTGAGTGAGAACTAAACAGTTCAGAAAATGAATCTACATTTCAGAGCTAGGTCTGCTAATGACATGGTGGATGTCTTTGAAAATATTACCTCTGCACAGCCCAAATAGTCCAACTGAAAAGTCAACTTCAGTGAAAAAGTTAAGATGATGCCCTTAAACCTTTCCAAGTTCCCAAGAATGCCTTTCAAACTTGTAAATTTCATGGACTTCTTTGCTTGACCAAAAAATTCCTCAGGCCACCTGTTAAACTCATTTCTACTTGCCTCTTACAGAATACTCCAAGTAGTCCACAAAATTTTCTCTAAAGAATGGTACAGTGGGCCCATGACATAGCACAGCTGACCTGAAAGACTGGATAAGCCATGGAACACCAGACTTAGAAGAGCTATTTCTGCTCGACAGCTAAAGACCATAATAATATGGAGAAAAAGAAACAGAATATGGAAAAAGAGGAATAAAAAAAAAGAGAGATGGTTTGACTTCATTTCTACACAGTCCTATTCCATGCCGAGTTTCTGAAGAAGAGAAACCTTATAAATCAGTCCCAAGTATGTAAAAATCAAAACAGAGGGAAATAATTTTGAAAAGTATTTAAATAACTATAATAATCACAGGATGAGAGGAAAAAGATGATCGCATCAGGGAGAATTTTTAGACCCTTTTAAACTTGGTTTAAAATGGGCAGTAATTCAAAATCTGACAAAGAGTTAATACTGAGTTCAGAGAATAAAAAGAAAAGTTCTTCCCCATAATTTTAATGGGGAAACCAACGCAATCCACATAAGTCAGTTATTTTTAGAGACTCATAGAAAATTAGGTGCTGAAAGAAATTAATGAGATTTAGAACTAGATTATTTTACGAGGAAAAGAATCTTGTAAACTACTGTCATTCAAAGACATAATAAATACACGACAGAGAATATTAGTGATATGTGAATAATGTCTCTTGTAGCATATTTAGAGATCAACTATAAGAAGTCCCTGTAGTCTCTCTCACTCCAGCTATTAATACTGTCTGCCCTGCTTGCTACAAAGGGAAGGGAAAGGGGAAGTATGATACGTGTTATGGCTTTACACGCCCACTATTTGTTTATTTATTTTTACTTATGATACCCAATTATAGTGTATTTGAAGTCTATTGACAGAGTAAGTGTTAGAAACGTTTCCATTAGTCATGTTTTTATTAACCTATGGGCTGATAATTCAAAGATTAGAAAATATAATAATTGGCAGCACATACTAAGAATAAAATCAAGCTTTGGGCTAAGGCGGGGTTTCACAACCTCGGCACTATTGCTCTTTTTTCCCAAGTGGCTCTATATTGCCAAACAAATATAAATATTTAACATGGTTAAAGTGTTCTTAGTAAAAATTCCAACTGTAAAATAACAACAGAACACATTTCTACATAGAATTATGTCAAGTCATCAAGGTAACTAATGCTAAAGGAGAAACATTTTTTAGAAGTCCCCTGACCTCTTTTTCTATGAGAACTAACTAAAAAGTTAAATTGTTCCTAAATTTTTGGGTGAAAATAAAATATTTGAGACATTACAGAGTTGACAAGTTTACAAGTTTTAAAAGCATATAAATAAATAAGTAATAATGACAAAGGACATCTTAGATTTAAAAGATTGGATTTCATTTTTGTAACATATACAGTAAATAGAATTAAAGTTGGAATTACACTATGGGATGTAGAAAAAGGAGTTTCAAATATATATCTCTCAGTTTTTGTTTTCTTTTTTAATTTTTATTTTTTGGTATACAGTTATATAGCTATTTTAAGCCTTCAGCAGGAATTCAAAGAGTACACACACATATCCATAAGGTGGATGTTATGCTATAGCCAATTTTCAGAACCTATGGATTTTATAAAACCATTTATAAAGTTAAAAAGTTAAAAGACTTAAAGTTAAAAAGAGGTTTAAAATTATATGGAAATTATATGAAGTATCTTTTATTATCAAGTCAACCTTTAAAAATATTCCTACAGATTTTTTTTCATTCTCTGGGCCTACTGGCCTAGGGGTTATTATTATAGACTGCTATTGTTTGGTTTGGGTTTCTCAAATTAAGGTGTAAGGCGGGGGGAGAATCTATGTTACTGCTGAATTTATTCAATTTTTCCTTCTTTCAATAGTGTAACAAAAATTATTGAGTGCCAGATATATACCAGGCCATCAGCTAGGTGTTAACTGTATGGCAGGTACTGCTTTTGTGAAACTAAGATTATTTTCATCAGACATTTTATTCGATAAAGGCCTTTTGAAAATTTAGGCAATAGGCAAGTTATTCTTTGCTGGGGAGGCAGGGGCTCTCCTTTGCATTATAATATGTTTACCAGCATCCCTGGCCTCTGCACACTAGAATCCAGCAGCACCTACCCCCCAGCTGTAACATCCCAGTATGTCTCCAGACATTACCAAGGGTTCCCTGAGGGGCAAAATTGCCCTAGTTGAGAATCACTGGGGTAAGGGTTTATGTTACAAAAAATAAAAGACAATAGAACTTCCCTTATATTAAAATTCCAGACTCCTGGGATTATTTCATTCTGTGGTGGAAAGACCACGCCTAAACCATGCCAGACAGCAAGGACTCTATCCTATTTTTAAAAAGAACTCTGCCAAGTCATTCCAAACTTAAATCTTCTGCAACAACCCATTCCAAAGCTTAACCACAAACTCCATTCCTCTGAGTGATTCTGTATGTGTATGTGTGACATCATAGTGACTAGCTGTGGGATTGTGTTGTAGGGGCTGAAACTGTAAAGGAGATTTAAAGAATCAAAACCAGCGACTTGACAGTTGCTACTGAAATCTGTAGATTTTCAGCTCTATAATAATTACACATTCTATTATAATATAATATAAAGTGATGAAGGCAATAATGTTTCTAAAATGTTTCACCATTAGAGACAATACTAATTTGACTACATTATACCCAAAATAATCCAAGGAAAGCTCTCTTCTTTTTGTCAAACTATTCCTTTGTTCAGTATGGGACTGGTCAAAAGCTATGGATGAAATTGTAAGGAAGTATCATTATTTTCAAGTGAAAGGACACTAATTGCCTACTGTATACTCAAATTATTCTTAACCAGTGTCAGATTTTTAAAAGTCACTTCAGTTAGAGATTTTCGAATGGTTAAATATGAAATTACAATGATTACTAGATATAATAATTCAACAGCTTCTCTATCAGTGAGAAAATTCATCAGGATACATTACCAGAGACCTAATTCATTTACCCTTTTTTAAAACAAAACCCCTAATCACTAAGATCTGCTAACTGATCAAGTTAAGAATGAAAACCTTGTGTTTTGTGATGGATAAATGACATTACAAATATAGCATTTGATACAATCTATTGGGTTACTCCTTCAAAATGATCTTTTTTCATTGTTGATAATATTGTTTTGGTTCAACAAAACTTTTTCTAAAAGGACTGTACTGGGTTTCCTTTTTAAAATTACATTTTTGTGCATTTCAGCACATTTTAAAGATACCTCCCCCATGAAGTGAACTTGACTGGAATAAAATCAACCCACTTAGATCAAAATTCTAGAGCATGATAGGAAAAGAAGGAAATAAATATAGGAGGGAAGAAAAGTAAATGTGAAATAGACAACTCTTAAAAGGACTGAAATTCCAACATATTAGTATAGTGCCCAAATCTTTTATTTGTAATCAAAACTTTCCTTGCTCATAGGACACATGTAGTTTTGATCATGAGTTCCTTAGAAAAGTGGAAAATGATGATGGAGAAATAAAAATGTTAGCCAAGAAGAAATTCTAGTATGATAATAGTTGATATTTCTCTAAGCTTTCAATCTAATACCTCCAAGTAGGAGGTGGGAGAGGAGGAAATTTGAAAGAAATTCATCTGTTTACTAAATAAGTGCTGAAACTTGAGAAATTTTGTGATTTACACATTCAAACTTGAGAGATGATATAAAAAGGCCAATTCCATCTCTATCATTTGTCTCTCATTAACCGGATAAGCTAATTGATGACCACACAGTGTCTGTGTCACTAGAACTAACAAAATAGGTTTTTTCAAGGATATCAGAAATCTTAACTTCTGGAAGGTTTTAGGTTGTCAGAATAGGAGATAAGTCACCTCTTCTATATCTCTGGTGGTTGAGCAAAAGAGAGGAAAGACCACAGAAATCCAGAAAGCACAATTTCCTACATCAGAACAGAGAAAGAAACAAAAATCTGAGTATTAGGAGAAGAAAAAGGGACAAATTGCAAGACGAAGAGTAGTGATGTAAGTACCACTAAGGATCACCGGATTTGTCCTACCTTTTTGCATTTGCAGGATTAGAGGTTCAGACATTTTTTAAGATATTTTATTGCACAAGGGACTCAGTCCCACCTTATTTGCATGCCAAACCTAACTCATGATCTAGAAGTACTCTTTCCTCCATTTAACAACAGACTTAAGCGGATTCTGGGCTGTGGTAGTTTCTAAGGCTAGAAAAACACCAGATGAGTTGCTTCCTCCAGGATAAAGAGCCAATCTAGGATGGATGAGCATAGGTGATGGGCAGAGTGGAAACTTCAATAATTGAAAGAAAGATAACATTCTACAGCCCAGCAGTTTTCAGCTGGAGGGAGGCAAAAGAGAGTATCAATGGGATATTGCAGGGGGTGTGCAATTAAAGCTAAAATACTGAAAATTGGGAATCTGATCTACAGAGAAACCCCATGGTTGCTGTTACTGATGGGACTGCAGAAAAATGAGCTCCTTTCTTCGCGTGTGGCACACCAATTCAAAGCTGCACCAGCGACAGGAGCCACTCAAGGAGAAATGGAAATGCCCATGGGTGACACACATCACCTACCCTCAAAGTCTACTCGCTGTCATGTCACTCTGCCCCCTGCAGGATATCCTTCACAACTACAGACAGCAAAAAAAAAATAACAAGGAACTACCATAGCTGAAATTCTGCAACTCAAATACAGTGTGTATTTATGTACCAAAGGACGCGGACATTGCGATAAAGAAAGCACAGAACAAAACACAGTAAACAGAAGAACAATGACGAAAAGAATCTGGAAGGGCTTACAAAGGTGATCTGATTTAGTTATGTCTTTGATCACAGAAACAATACAACTGTAAGAATAATGAGTGTGTACCATTTGTACATTCGTTACAGAACCCTTGTGTACATGCACGGAAAGACGAAGGATGAGATTTAATAAAATAGCTGTGTTCTTCCCATTACCAAGTAAATCTGCCTTACCAAACGTTCGTGTGGATGCAGGCTGCAGTAGCTGCTAGACTGTGGAATATGAGAAGAATTGCCCAACATTCCTCCGTAGCCAGGCTGATTCATCCCACTGGAGGAGCTCCAAGGGTCACTGCTGTGATGGCCATCTGTAAAGGACAAAAAAAAACCATGACTTTTCTGAGGCATTCAGCCTTGCCTTATAGAATAGGGTTTTTTCATATACTTGAAAATGACTGCCTGTTGTGTATTCATCTTTGTGTTGGTTAGCCAATTACATCAGAAAGCAGTCATCATTATTTTTTTCCCAAGTGGCTCTATATTGCCAAACAAATATAAATATTTAACATGGTTAAAGTGTTCTTAGTAAAAATCCCAACTGTAAAATAACAACAGAACACATTTCTACATAGAATTATGTCAAGTCATCAAGGTAACTAATGCTAAAAGAGAAACATATTTTAGAAGTCCCCTGACCTCTTTTTCTATGAGAACTAACTAAAAAGTTAAAGTGTTCCTAAATTTTTGGGTGAAAATAAAATATTTGAGACATTACAGAGTTGACAAGTTTACAAGTTTTAAAAGCATATAAATAAATAAGTAATAATGACAAAGGACATCTTAGATTTAAAAGATTGGATTTCATTTTTGTAACATATACAGTAAATAGAATTAAAGTTGGAATTACACTATGGGATGTAGAAAAAGGAGTTTCAAATATATATCTCTCAGTTTTTGTTTTCTTTTTTAATTTTTATTTTTTGGTTTACAGTTATATAGCTATTTTAAGCCTTCAGCAGGAATTCAAAGAGTACACACACATATCTATAAGCTGGATATTATGCTATAGCCAATTTTGAGAACCTCTGGATTTTATAAAACCATTTATAAAGTTAAAAGAGTTAAAGAGTTAAAGTTAAAAAGAGGTTTAAAATTATATGGAGGGCCGGCCCCGTGGCTTAGCGGTTACGTGCGCGCGCTCTGCAGCTGGTGGCCCGGGGTTCGGATCCCGGGCGCGCACTGACACACCGCTTCTCCAGCCATGCTGAGGCCACGTCCCACATACAGCAACTAGAAGGATGTGCAGTTATGACATGCAGCTATCTACTGTGGCTTTGGGGGAAAAAATAAATAAAATTAAAAAAAATTATATGGAAATTATATGAAGTATCTTTTATTATCAAGTTAACCTTTAAAAACATTCCTACAGATTTTTTTTCATTCTCTGGGCCTACTGGCCTAGGGGTTATTATTATAGACTGCTATTGTTTGGTTTGGGTTTCTCAAATTAAGGTGTAGGGGCAGGGGGAGAATCTATGTTACTGCTGAATTTATTCAATTTTTCCTTCTTTCAATAGTGTAACAAAAATTACTGAGTGCCAGATATATACCAGGCCATCAGCTAGGTGTTAACTGTATGGCAGGTACTGCTTTTGTGAAACTAAGATTATTTTCATCAGACATTTTATTTGATAAAGGCCTTCTGAAAATTTAGGCAATAGGCAAGTTAAATCTGGCACTATATTTCACAAAGCTTTTTTTCACTGAGTTTTTACATCCAGAGGTTAGAATTCAGAAAACTGGAACAGTTTCAAGACAGGGAAGAATAATCTGTAGATTTATTTAAAACTATATCAGCAAAATCATGTCTGTGGTTTTGACAACTTAAGAATTTTAACTAGAAAATGGAAATTAAAGTTAAAAAATAAGAGGTTACATAGTAGTGAGCTTAAAATATGTTCCTGACAGTCTGAATATCTTTCACTTAAACTGCTTGCTTCCTCAAGACCTAAATTCTCAGGGCACCACAGACCCCTCACTGAAGAAAGTCACTGTCAAATGGGATCATGATGTGGTGTTTCTGCGATCATAACGTGAAAACATGGGACTTTCAAAGTGATTATTCACGTACTTTAGATTTAGCCCCGAGATTATGGAAGTTTAGATGTCATCTTTTTTTTTTTTTTTAAAGAGTGTGAATTAATTAATTTATTTTTTTTCTCCCAAAGCCCCAGTAGACAGTATGTCATAGCTGCACATCCTTCTAGTTGCTGTATGTGGGACGCGGCCTCAACGTGGCCGGAGAAGTGGTGCGTCAGTGCGCGCCCGGGATCCGAACCCGGGCCGCCAGCAGCGGAGCGCGCGCACTTAACCACTAAGCCACGGGGCCGGCCCTAGATGTCATCTTAAATTCAAAAATGAAGTTCAAGACCAGTAACACTTCAGATAGACAGCATATATGACAAATAAATTGAGACTATGTATCATTGAACAGGAGTTTCCTGAAACATTCTGACAACATGATGCACTATATGGAAATACATTTAGGATTTGTTAACACAGAACACTCTACTCAATGCAGATTTATAAAAATACATATTTTACATAAATTATGCTTTTCACAGTAAATTAATATTTATCACATCTCATGATCTTGGCATAATGTTGTTTTGAAAGAATAGAATTAGACGTGTGCAAATTAATTGTGCTCATCATAAATGTCAACTCAAATTTTTTTTTTTTTTTGCTTTTTGGGTATTCGTGTGCAGAAAAACAAATCTGTTCCCCACATTTTGCATGGTCTGCTACGGAGAAGAGCCTATTGTTTTAATCTACCTGATCTCCCCTGCAGTGTGCACAATATAAGCAAGCCACCTTCTTGTAGGCAGACAGAAGAAATCTATCCTTCTGTTAATTTTCTCAGTCTGCTTCGAGTGATGAATCCTTGAGTTGACAATCTCTGTAAGTACTGGTAACACAGTTTCTCCGACTGGTCACAAAAGAGGGGAAGCTGGTGCCAAAGTGGCTGCTATTTATAGCTGAAGCAGATAAGCCTTTTGTCATGGCACAGAACACACTCAAGTGACATACTCTGCTGTGTCCCTTTGAGAGTTACACCTAGGACAGGTCACAAAGATAAAGGATCCCTGTGAACATGAGCTCCAGGATGTGTGGAACAAATTCTCTCTATTCCTGAGGGACCCATTCGATTCAATTTTATAGATTTTCCATGGAATTTCACATGTGAACTAACAACCTAAAAGAGCTAATACTCAGAAGGGAAAGAAAATAAATCCCTTTTAATCAGAATGATTTTGAGTGTGTCCACTGTAATCTAAGCGAGACACCAGGTTGCTCCCCTGGCACTCACTGGCCGGAGGGCACTCTCCTTCCCTGACAAGGCCCTTCCTAGAGGAGCCCGAAGAAGGAAATTCCATGGCACTTTGCCAAGGCACACTCAAACAAGGTTTTACACCCAGGAAAAAAGAGTTAAGTTCTCATACAGGGGTTCTTGGTAAACTCCATATCTAAATTTCAGAGTGTTAACTTGGTAACAAGATAATCACATTGTGACAATAAGTGTCAATAAGTGACAATAAGTGTCACAGGTATATCAGGGATGGAGCTGCATCCTCCGGACGGTCCATTCTTACAAGCAGTTGTTGTCATTTCAACTATCTTGGGCTTTTTCATGCAGCAGAATGGGCTGTGCTACCAGTGGCAAGTCTATAAGCGCATGGGACACACATCCATGTGCACTTAATTAAATACACTGGACAATTACAAGAATAAATACACTTGATCCACCAGGAGGCTGTAATTTTCTACCTTTGTCCAGGAAAAAAGCTGGGTCTTTTACGCTAAATCAATTAGCGTATTGGGATAGAGCTTCTGTTGTGTAATGAAATCATATTCCAGTCTTTAGATAGGTCACTTCACCTTAAATGGTCTTCTTGTTTGTACCTATAAATTAATTAGCTGCTGAAAATTTTATATAAGGTTACACATAAGGACAATTTTTTCCCAGCTGGCTAAATCCAGGATGCTCAAAATACACATTGAACCCAAACACTTCTAAACATACATACAACCTCTTCTTGGGGATGGTGAAGATGATGTTGAAATGATCGGTCATAGAGGACCATCCCTGAGGAAGCCTCAGTTCTTACTGGAGCATACCAGTCTAATCTGAACTCATTACAGCTCAAGGGGCTTGAATTTACAAAAAGTAAAGTTGTAATTAGTTAATTTATTTTGAAAGAATTCAGTTCCTAAGAAGAGCATGACCTCCAATATTTTACATTTGCCTAATGTTCCATTTCTTGGGTATCAGTTCAGCAGTCTTTTGTCCCATATATGACATGAAAAGACCCAGGAAGACTCTGTCCAGCGGTTTACCCCTAGAAGAGGCAGCATCTTACCTTGCATGAAGAAGGAGCTAGGGAAAGTGCTGGCTGCTGGTTTCGAGGAAGGGTAGCCTGGCGAGTCCCTATTGTAGTCGGCAGTGCTTGCTGAAGGAGCATAAACCTGAGGAAGGAGAGCCAATTTAGTCTGCCTGCTGCATTGACCAAGCATCTCAAGGTCCATTACTTATAAGAAGCAGGTACCAAATGCTAAATTTCTACCACGTTCATTCTAAATCTGATTAAACTCTAGAAACACTGCCCCATTCAGAATACAGAAACACAAAACCCAAAAAAACCTCCTGACTATAGTTGTGTGAATAATATTTTCCAGTCACAGGCAAGAATATTGTGAACCATGTCTAGTTGTAAATATATTATATAATACCCAGGGGGTTGTCCTAGGAGGCTAAGCATCTTTTTTTCTTTTTTTTTTTTTTTCAAACATAGATGGCTCATGAGCACGTGAAAGGTAAAAACAGAAAGGCATGCATCAAGCCCCTCCCTTCTATGCTACCTTTCAATTTAAATTTTCACTTTTGAGAGAGACAGAGAGAAAGAGAAAATGAATGCACTATCCAGACACCGAAAGTGACAAATATATCCCAGAATATTAAATTCCCATAGTGTCAGCTTTTTGCAGAGATGCATGGAAAAGGCCACTAAAAGCCTGGATCTACACAGACCACCAACAATCAGTGTGTACATAAGAATGGAGGGAACCTTCCTTTATAGTTCTTATTATATTTGTGTGTGTAATAAACTTAAAAAGGGTGCCAAAATCCTAATTTACTTACATTTGTTTACTAATACTCATGAGACTTGGGGAACCAGTTCTTTATAAAAATAGCCTGTGTATTTTCTTGTTTATGTTTCCTTTAAAGAAGACAGCACACTAGAAAAGCATAAATTCATAAGGTATAGTTTAACTTTAATTGGTTTCCCCCTTTGCCTTTTCTGCTAAATATAATTTTTTTTAAATCCCCATTTTCTTTTGCTCCAAAAGTTCCTCTCTCCAGATGGTCTGAGAGACTGAAACACTGTCATCCTCTTGATGAAAATGGATACCTTCCTGCCTCCATTTTGAAGCAGGCAGCAGCTCACAAAATTGGCAGTGAGCCTACAGTGATATTCACAGGTCAGAGTAAAAGAAAGAGAAATTCACCAATAAAGAGGCAACTGCAGGGTTACCAAAAAAAACTCACCCCCCCCTTTTTTTACACAACACAGCAAATAAACACCCTACGAAAAATTATATAATAGCTCTCAGAACACCATGAATCACAAACTAAGCATTAATACAAGGTTTAGGATTTCACAAAGGATAGGTCCGCAGAGACAGATGTGGGAAAATATGCATACACATACATACATCAAATAAATGCTACACATGCCCCACAGTGCCCTTGAAAATCAGGAAGTCCTGGAGATTGAACAAAACAAAAACAAACCAAAAAACCCACACACACTTTAGAAAACAAGGATTTTTCCTAAGTCATGGAGGGATATAAGCCCTATATTTTATGAACTATCATATTTTTTAATTTTATTTTTAAATTTTCTTCATATTTTAAATGTATAAACCGCTATTTGATTCAATTTCCACAGGCTTTACAATAAAGGAAAATTTTTTTCAAGTATCTTTAAGGGACAAAGAATAAAACTTAGGCCAGGAATTCCACAACAAATCAATACCCCTAGTTCTGTCAAGCAAAACCTAGTATTTTGTTGAGAACTATACAACTAACAGTTTGGGAAACAGTACTATATGTATGTAGAGAAGGTATTGAGAGTAGGCTAAAAAGATGAAAGAAAATATTACCTTCCAGGAAAAGGGGAAATTGAAAATCAGATCATCTCATTCTAATGACAAATGAGTACAATACGCTTATAATACATCTATAGGCTATTAGCCTGACAGCTATTTACCAGTCAGTATTAACACAAGCTAAGCATACTATGTATTACTCTCAAATTTCAGAAATCAATATATTTACTACAAAACTGAAACTCTGACCCAAATTATTAAATCACCTTATATTTTAAAACAAGTGAAATCAATTCTTTTAGGATAATATATAGTTTAATTTTAATTACGTATTCTACTACATTATCCTTAAACATGTATATTATTACGTCAACAGCATTCGATGGAACCTATTAAGGTTCATCTTTTTTCCCAATTTCGGTAGAATTATTTGATATTTCTTTTGGGAGATAAGGACAAATCTTTGGTAATTTTGCTCATATATAAGGAGGCTACTTTGACTATGAATTATGATCAAGCTCAATCTGATGGTAAGATCATTAACCCCAAATTAATAAATACTGCCTGCATGAAAAAGAATATCTATGGGGTTAAAAAGTTTTTAGGACATATCATACTATACAATTTCTATTTTTCTGGTGTCGTAGGCAAACGAAAACTCTTTAGATAAGATGAAAGTCTTTGTTAACAAGAAATGGACCATTGTTCATAACTTTTTTAAAAAAGGCAATTTCTGCATATTTTATAAATTTCCTTTATATCACAATTTACAGATCAGGTACAATGTTATTCCATTTCCATTTATATACTTCATCGTTTTTACTTCAAAAGTTATTTTTAAGGTAAGTGCTCTATATATTTGATTATATAAATAAACATTGCATAGAACTACTGCACTTTTTAAAAGCAGAAGGAATCAAAGACCTTATTTTGTTCAACCCATCACACTTTAATTATAAGAAAATTCAATAACAGAATGGTCAAAGCAACTGCTTAAGATATGCAACTTACTCAAGAGATACAACTATAAATCGCTCTTTAGTCTCCACTGTTTAACCGTTACTTTCTTTAAAAATGGTGGTAAGGGTATAAGATGATATTTATGAAAACAGAGGGATCATAATGTTCATGCTTTGATTTATCCTTAATGTTTTAATCTTTAATAACCTGGATGACCAGTGAGCTGCTTCATTATTTTTACTTCAGTCAATGACTTTGCCAATTTATCAATCAAAAGACTTTAAAGAATGGGTTTCAATAAAGATTTAATAGAGATACTAAATGAGAAAAACTCACATCCATTTAACTTGAATTACTATTCTCAGTAAATAGAAAGATGACTTATACATATGTTAAATAAAATAGCTTTTTATTTAACAGAACAATAACACATATCCCAGGTATCTTCAAATACTTGGAATCGGTTTTAATGACTAACACTAGAAAGTTAGTCCAACAAAAAATGAAATAGAAATCCCAAACTCTAGTTCAATGTATTGAAGGGATTCCACCAATGAAATATGAGGAAAGTCTAAAAGGAAACAAAAATCTCCACTTAGTGTTTCTCTGATAAGGTGGCTTAGATCACGGTGACTTTTGGCATTCTGATTCCTCCCACAAGAGTCACTAAAGAAGTGTGAAATTTTTGTCGCAAAAGTGGAAGTGTGGAAACTTCACAGGCTACAGTTCTTTTAGTAAATATTTGTTGAATAAAAGTTTCATGGAAAACTAGTAGCAAAGTATAGTTAATATTCAATGTTGGCACCGTTATCTTTTCTCTTACGATCCTGAATTTAAAACATACAAAATCATGCATATAGAAATTCTGAGTTTACAAAGCTCTCTAGATAACACTAAACCCTGAACTCATAAAAATAAAAAATGCTTTCATTTTACATATTTAATTTTTGTTGTAATTTGAGAAGTATTACTATGGAACATTCGAGGTTCCATCCAATGTCCTGATTATCCTTTGTGAGTCATCAAAGAAACAATATGGTACGTTCTTTAAAACAGAATAGAATAGAACCTCCGCCTATTAGAAAAGAAAATCAATCAAACACACACTAACAAACAAAATGAAGAGAGTAGAATGCATATCCTGCCTTTTCCCCTTGATGTTCTCATTTTTATTTGTCTTGGCACTTCAGTTTCATTTACGGAGATTTAAAAAATAACAATGATTACATTTGTTTAGGGCCTCTTGTGGAACAGCTTTTGTGCTAGGAGCTCCATATACATTATTTCTGATCTTCACAATGATCGTACAAAATGGATACTATTAATAGTATGATTCCTATTTCACAGGGCTAATGTACGGCAGAGAGGTCAAATGTATTGGCCCAGACTGGCCTGGGTGTGACCGTCAGTTCTACCATTTAGTAGCTAGGCAACCTCAGACCTGTTACTTTAACCTCTCTGGTCTTCAGATTCCTACCTGTAAAATGGGAATGACAGTGCCTGCTACGCGAAGTTCTTATGTGAATTAAATGATATAACGTATAAAGCAACTAGAACAATACCTGGGACATATTGAGCATGCAAAAACCATCAAACAGTAGTGTTACTGTTGTGCTGCTATTGTTTTTATTATCCTAACAAATGTGACTCAGGAAAGTCAAGCCACCTTTCTACATTAAAATTTTATCAAGTGGTAAAGGAAGGATTTGAACAGGTCATCACAGTCTTGTTCTTTCCACTAAAGAACAATTCCTTCCTCTTAAAAGGCAAAAAAGAAAAGAAAAGATATTTTAACTATCAATACGAGGCTATACGTTGACCATAGTTTCTAGAAATATTCTTGTGAGGTCTCACAATTACCTTTTAATAAAAGTAAAATGTAATAAGGCATGTTCATACCGAAATCAACATATGCTGATATTACTTGCTTCCTGAAGTGAGAAGCTGAATTCTGAGGAGATAAAGAGAAGTGGCTCCAGATCACGTATGATGAGATGTGTGACTGAGTGGGGTTTGGTGATAGCCACAGTGGACCTTTAACATTCCTTAACATTACTACCCCTTTGGGATCCTGCAAGTACCGTCTGAATACATAATTCTCAAAGAGAATCAGTTCAGAATAACTGAAACATTGTAATTGAGACATTCAGACCCTTAAAAGAGAGTTGCTGTATGCTCCGAGATGAGTAGAAAGTAGCAAAGCAGAATTATGCCTCAGATGCCCAAGTGCTGGCGAGGCTCACTTAGTTGCTCAGACCTTGGGAGATTTCACAAATATTCTAAACTGTGACAGGTAAACACTCACATGCTAAGAGTTATAGTGCGCCACTGATGTTCACAGACCTAGGCAAATACTCTGACGCTTCCCAGAATCTAACAGGGAAAAATACTTGCAG